GTCAGAGTACCTGTAGGAGTCAGAGGTCAGAGTACCTGTAGGAGTCAGAGTACCTGTAGGAGTCAGAGGTCAGAGTACCTGTAGGAGCTCATGGGTCTTCTGGTCTTCTGGTCGTCTGGACTGAAATATCCTGAGAGGCGAAGACAAACTGTCTCCATCACTGAGGAAGATCTACACACGCACACGCACACACACACACACACACACACACACACACACACACACACACGGTTTCATGGTACAGTAACAGAAGGTTACAGCAGATGTGAAAGGTCAAAGGTTCACTAACTTCTTCAGCTGTGTCTTCATCCTCTTCTTCATCATCAGGACAATACTCTTCATCATCGTCATCCTCGTCTTCATCAAGATCAATGTCAACAAACTGAGGAGGCTGCGAGATGGACAAGTGAGAGACAGAGATGTGTTAAGAGAGACAGACAGGTAAGAGACAGACAGACATAAATCATTACTGTAACTCACCTTGACTGTGTTCACAGCTGACAGACTCCAGTTCAGTGGCTGCAACCAGACAGACAGGTGGACAGAGAGACAAGTGGGCAGACAGACGGGTGGACAGACAGACAGACAGGTGAGAACAGTGGTTTAACAAATTTGTTTTAATGTAAAGTAGCAGAGAGGATCATGGGAGGTTGAATTCACCTGTCCTTCCTGGACAACCTGTTTCAGTCTGGACCGAGTCATCTTAGGCTCCTGATGGAAACAGACAGACAGTCAGAGAGACAGGTACAGAGACAGACAGGTAGACAAGTTGTCTCTTCACATGATGAAACACGGAGACTCACAAACATCGGAAGGTCCTGAGTTTCTCTGATGGTAGTTTTCATCATGGCCACAACATGTTCGTGTGTAATCACCTCCTGACACAGATCACGACACAAGTTACAAACATGATGTGTGTAGAAAGTTATACATGTTACATATGATGCTGCACAAAAGATCTGATCACCATTGTGTGCATTTATACGTGTGTGTGTGTATATTTTTGTGTTTTGGTGCGTGTCACTCACATGCAGGATGGCCCGTACATTGCTGGACGTCAGGTTGTGCTGTCTGGACTTCCTGTCCAAGTCGATGTCCAGTCGTCCCAGTTCATCCTCACTGGACTCGCTCCTCTCTGTGGTGACCACCTCCTCCCTCGTCACCCCGCCCACCTGTGGTGAACGAATCAAGTGTGTTCTTACCGCTGAGGAACTTCCTGTGCGAGGCTTGGAGACTGTCGCTGACTTCCTGTCCTGTCTAAAGACACTTGCCAGTCCGTCCATCTTCAGACATTTAAAGAGCACAGGACAGACATCTCCGGCTGCTAGACGTCTCCGGCCTGTCCTCTGAAACACAGCAGATCAATACTCACTAATGAATATAGTCATAATAAATATGCCAAGTAAAACCACAGATACGATCGTATAACTGAGACGTTACAGGTCAGGTGGGTTCTGTTGAAGCTCCAGCAGCTGACAAAGGTTCATCCTCTGAGGAGAATCTAGATCTTTCAGAAACTCCTCAGAGGATCTCAGAGGATCTTGTGGGTCTCTGAAGACCCTGGTCCTCCTCAGAGACTGGAACGATCCACAGCAGCTCCACGATAACAACATGATGTCATGGTTCAAAGGAAGGGACTGGTCAGTGGGAGGAGCTTTACACAGTTTGATCTCTTATCTCCAACTTAACCTGGAGCCGGTCAGCTGGTAAACATGTTACCATGGTGATTTACCTGGTAACAAGGGAACGAGCTTCATGGGACTGAAACTCCTTCAGGTTAACTGACCCGGGTCACAGGCGGAAGCGGCTCATTCAGAAACAGCAGCTAACAGACGCTAACAGAAGCTAAGCTAACCCAGTATGAGCCACTGAGCTTACTTATTACCGTGTGTGCTGGTTAATGGCGGGAAGAGGGATGAAAGAGAGACGAGCAGAGAAAGAAAGAAAAGAAAGTTTGTGTTTTACCGTCTCACTGATGTCGGCAGCCATCACTCCGTCATGTTAGCAATGTTAGCTCAATTAGCTCTACTTCCGCCAACAACAATGACACTTCCGGGCCGAGTCCTTCACAATAAAAGTAGAGTGTCGGGAGGTTTGGGTTTTGTTGCCACCTGCTGTTCAGGGTGAGGAACAACCACGATCACAAACCACCACAAGAATGAAACCAGGGGGTACTCCATCAGTGGCTAAACGCTAATCCTGGCTTACTTTGACAAGTCAGGCTTATTTAAGTGAGAGATCCGCTCCATGACTTCAATGAATTCTTGCTCAGTCACCATAGTTACTTATACTTCAGAGTTAGCCTGCTCCGTATCACGATTACTGTCGAGCAGTTGAGATGGAGTCTGATCCTCTGACGTGATCCGAGTAAAAAAAACAGAGACATCAAGTCGGACACCTTTTACTTCTTCTTGTAGCATCAGAGACGAGAACAATGAGCGATCTCACAGCTTTTAAGTTTTAAGTTGCAGTCAGGGGCAGTTCTGGGATCAGACCCTATGAAAATAAGACATGGGGGGTGCAGGGTTGAGAGGATAAGAGGGTGAAAACCTTCAGATGTTCACAACGACTAACAAACAAATAAACTATGTTAACTACATTTATCTGCTCACACACTCACTCAACAAGTCCAAGAACACAGTGACGATAAAACCACAAAAACTTTGGAAAAGAAACTCCTACTGGAACAAGACTCACACACACACACACACAAACACACACACACAGACAGACATTTTATTGTCGTTGTGAAATATGAAGTTCTGGTGTCAATTAAATTTACATGTCTGTGGTTGGTCATATGCAGTAAAAAAACAGCAGTCGCTTGCCTTTCCATAATTGCAGAGCAACACACACACACACCTACACACAGGTATGAATGCTGACAACGGCGTAGGCTCCGTGTGTACCTACGGCAAAGCTTCAACGCAGATCTGCGATTGTTAGGTTAAGTTGAGCTGGATATCAGAAAAGATATCCAGGGTATGTTGAGCATGCTTCGTAGTTTAGGCCCCAGATGTTTATAGTATGTTTAAATAAATATTAATGATGAAGATTGAGGTCAGTTTCTACTACGTCAGCAAATCCTGTGTGTGTGTGTGTGTGTGTGTGTGTGTGTGGTAGGGAACTGTATGTTGCTATGGAAACACTTCTGCAGGAATCCAGCACATTGTTACCATAGAAACTGTGTTTCCATAGTAGTAACAGTCAGTGTGTGTGTGTAGTTCTTCCAGCTCTGTGAAGACCAGTCAGAGTTCTTGTCCTCACACAGTGAAGACAAGTGAGGACACAGATTTATATTGAGATCAGGTTTAAGGTAGTCCGGGTCCCTAACCCTAACCCTCCAGGTCCAGGTCCAGGTCCAGGTCCTGACAACAGACTGTAAACAAATGAATGCACACGTCTCCACTTCCTCTAAACATGAAGATAAATTGTCTCTGATTGAAACTCTGCCACCTTGTGGTGATGACGTCACTTAAAGTCAGCGTCTGAGCAGTGTTCGTGGAGTGGAGCCATGGTATCAAGGTCCCGCCCACACAAGCTCTCGACCAATCCTGAGTCAGTGTCAGCTGTCAATCACAACGCCTCAGCCCGTCTTCATATCATCAATAACTGATGAACCCGAAGTGATGAGAGACACTGGGACAAACCCAGAGACTGAGGAGGGGACAGAAACTGTTTGTCCCATCTGCAAACATGGAGGAGGTTTATGACCTGTACTGCCGCCAGACACCAGGGGGCGATGGAGATGACGTGACCGATTGACTGTGGTGATCAGTGACTATCGATTGAACAAATGAAGTGATGGGGGGGGTACCTGGATGTTGCTGGAGCGGCTCTGGAGGAGGGAGGGGGGAGGGGGAGGAGCGACGCAGCGGCTCAGTCTCAGTCAACATCGATAACTAACGATGAACGTTCTTCATCTCTGCGGTAAGAACACACTCATCTTCATCTTCATCACCTTCAGCTGACCGTGTGTGTGTCTGTGTGTGTGTGTGTGTGTGTGTGT